CTCAGCAATTTACTGACAAAACAATCAAATAAAAAAATAAAACAAAAATAATAATAATAAAACCAAGAACATTATGGACGGGTAAGGCCGAGCATTAAATGCCCTACACACATTTTAGTAATAACATATCAAAAGTTACTCATTATTTTCATGCAAAAGTCATGCTTTTCCTAAAAGTCGCCATATTGGAGAAATTTTTCTATGCAGTGGTGTCCAAAAAACAGACCTGCATGGTCCAAATTCGGTAAGATTGATTTCTATGTTGATTTCCTTATATAAACTTATTTTCATCATGAAACGTGAAAAATCGTACCTTTCTACCATATGAAGATTCAGTTTTCGTAGGAAAGGTCATATGAGAAGAGGTTTAAAAAATTGCCACAGCCGAACAATATTTTATTTGTTTGCAGGTCTAGGTTGAACACAAATTTACATGGACAGACAAACAGACACAGAGACGGGCAGATGGACGGACAACATCGATCGGTATAATAAACAGTGAATTTATCTTAAACTTGCCTGCGTGTTACATATGTCCGCGCAAACTTAATATACTCTGTAGCACATGTGGTATAGAGAATAAATATGCTATCACACAACTAGTTTCGTACTTAATAGGGAAAAGTTTTAGTTTTTTTGTTTTTGTATATATTATGTTTTTCTTCTTTTTTTTTGGTTAAAAGTGCATGGAAAAGGGGAGAGAAAGCAGACAACGCTTACAAAGAATTGTGCAAAACGTAGATCTATGTTATTTTTCATTGCTTGATTTAAGGCAAAACAAAAGGAGGGGAAAAAAAATAAACGAAAGAAAATTTATGCCTCTTTCTGCAATTCTGAGAAAGAAAGAAAATGTTTTTACGCTATTTACTAAAAACAACAACAAAATGCCAACTAATTGCTATGGGGGGTACTTTCTGTTATTTTTATATTCAAATGCGCCGCCAACGCCGTCATATTTAAAGTCAGTGTTGCAAGCTAACGCAGGTGTTATTACTTGGAAAAAATTTCTATTTTCGCATACGTAAGCAAGCGTGAGTTTGTGTTTTTTTTTTTTTTTTTGTTTTTTTTGTTTTTTTCAGTTAAAAAGATCCCCTAACACTTTGCAGTTTGCTTTTATGTAATATGACGACAATAACAAAAAACAATTACTGTTCCCTTATGGAGGAATTTTTATTTTTTAATAATTTTTGATACCTTCTCCCTTTCATGCAACGTCGGTATGCTAACAGTCTGTCATTTCGCTCATAACTCAGGTAAAATGTAGTTTGCAACTCAAACATAGTACATAAATGGAAACCCAAATGTAGTACGATTATCTAATCGAGTGTCTGTCTCATTGTTCGAGAGCGAATGTGAATTAAAGCTTTAAAAATGAAATTTGAATAAAAAGCTATCCTTTTTTTTTTGGAAAAATACATGCAGGTATGAGTGAATCGTAGAAATAAAGTGAATCGTTTTAAAGTTTCGTGGACTTGGAAATTAAATAAAAGAAATTTTTCTGAGTGGCCGAGTAATCAAAGGATCTCGAATAATAATTTAATGGTCGTGGGTTTACATCCCAAGTGCAGTAAAGTTTTCAATAAAACCAATATCAATAAATGTACTCTTAATTTAAATGAATTTAGTCATGTCCGTCTGTTTGTTCAACGGATTATCGTTGATTTTAAAAGTCTCTAGTTGGCAAATATTCCAATAAAAAGGTGCTGTTGCGAGCAGGTATATTTCATCTACGACGACATTTATTTGACCCGATTGTTGTTAATCGTTTCATCCACTCTGGCTAAATTAATAAAAATAATAATAATAATAAAATCCAAGAAAGAAATTTTGTTTTATGGAAACATCACATATAAGCGCGAATTTTTCGCAATAAAAATATCGATCTTCATATTAACTCACGGTACTTCGCTATTAAGGGGGTGCACTGCAGTAAATTTTGCGAAAGATAGTTCTTTTTTTTTTTGCTTAATTGATGCTTCGAACCTTCTAGAATGCGTGGAAAAAATTTTTCCTTGAAATTTCGCCATTTTCCATAAGCAAAATGTTTTTGACATAGCGAATGACATTGCCAGGTGATATTTTAATAACATACCTAGTATTTTGAAACTCATTAAATTTTGATCCGGATCAAGAAAGTGAAGCGGTCTTTAACAGATTCTACAGAACAGGTGCATTGTAGCATGAAATTTTTGAGAAAACAGTGTAAGGACTAGACTCTTTTATATGCCTGGGTGGAACACGTCGATATGTTCCAGGCGTCCATTAACCTATTTTATTTTTATTACCTTTGGGATTAATTCGAAATTTGAGTCAATTTGGATTGTTTACATGACGTTAGAATTCGATTTTTATTGGATAAAATGAAACCTTAAGTCTAATCCGGGAGTTAGCACAATTATGTTCTAATTATACGACATTACAGAAAGGACCTATTCGGGAATTAGTACAAGTTTACTATTATTAGATGTTTGTTTCATAGAAACCAATCACATAGTAGGAACTACTAGAGGAATATACTTCGTCACCATACGGGTTATTACAATTAGACAGCATTTTTCTATTTTAATTTCCTTAACTCAGGGTAAATTTAATTCACCTAATTTAATCGAAAGACGAATTTGGACCAGTTACGCTGCTTGCCGCAGAGCCCCTTGGACTAACGACGTCTCTAGGGATTGGCTGCGATGTTGCCATTTCTTCATATATATTCAAAAAAAAATGTCAAAAAATTTTTTTTGTTTTACGCTGCCACAATGGTCTACACCCCCCTAATCAATCGAAATATGAGAGGGGATCACTAAAATTCCTGACATTATACTTAATCAGTTGTATGAATAACATTTTTAATTTGTAGATTAAAGTGTTTAGAATCGAATTTATGCTAATAAATGTACATCGATTCGTCCGCGGTTGCTCTAGTTAAAAATGTTGCAAGAATCTTTTATTATTGTTATTATTATTATTATTATTATTATTATTATTATTATTATAATTATAAATTTAGCCAGAGAATAAATTCTAAGACTAAAGTTTTAAGGCACTAGCGGCTCAGGCTTTCGGCTTTATTAAAAATCTACTACACTTGAGATTTGAACCGACGACCATTGACTTGCTAGTCGAGACTCTTGCCTACTCGGCCACTCATGCGGATAACTTTTTTTAATTTTGCAAAAATGTGGTATAACAATTAAATACACAAGGCAACATTTTCTGCAACATGTATACATTAAAAACAAAAGCAACTGGCAACTTTCCTATGTATATAACGCAAAATGCAACTTGTAGAAAGAAAAAAACAAGAAAAAATGCACAAAGAACCCATTGAAAAGTCAAGTGAAGAAATTGCTTTAACTGCTCTCTTAGTAAACGAAATTGAAAATAAGTCAAATTGAGATCACACACGACCAGCAAAGAAAAAATAAACCCAAAAAAAAAAAAAAAAATGGATTATCCCCCTTCTCTTGTTTTTATTTTATAGAAGAATTGAAAGAAAAAATGTACATAAAAGCAAGTATATTTTCGGGCATAGATTTTACTGTTTAATAGAACAATTTCTCAAACAAGTTTTTATTATTGTTTATTAGTACGTTTTTGAAGAGGTTGATACCTTTATCCACATGATATGTCATAGTGAAATTTCTCACAAAGCTCATAATTAGTACGATATCTTCATTCTTGGCTTTCTAGCTGTGTGTAAGAGATCAAAACAATTTTTTTTAAGGCATGCATGAAAAATACATTTTTACTTACTTCGGTGCCGGCTATTGCAAACTCTCACTTGTTATATATATATATATATATATTTTTTTTCCTGATTTGGTTTTTCTCGTCTTCTTAAACATTTCCCTTTTGCCTTTTGTAAAGTTTTGTTCTTGACATATAGAAATGTAGATTAATGACGTTTTGGTTGGTTTTTTAAATACAAAAAAGGCAGCATATTAAATATGCCAAAGGTTTGCCAGGTCTGGACGTCTCTTTAAATCGCCATTACAATATCAAAATCTTCTTATAGAAAAATTAATTTTTTTTTATTTACCAAACTTATCAACAATCGGCAAAGTCAGTCCACAAGCCTGCCCACAATTGTTAATAACTTAGATCTTCTTCCTAAATCATCGCTTCCCGATTTTAATACAAAATTAATGAATTTTTTTGTCAATAAAACTACACAGTTCACTTCAAAATAAATGAACAATTCAAGCTAGTAACTTAAATGTTTGCATTGCACAGTGTTCGTCACTAGTTCAAGAGTCAGTTTATTCGAACTGAAAGTTTTCTAGAAATAAGTAAAGTAATAAAATCTTTGTATAAATAAATCTGCTTCCAAAATTGTACTTGGAAGTAATTCTACATCGCGCTGATTTTGTTTTGACATCTTAACGAGACACACGCTTCAATAAACGGTCAATATATGGACTGGTTCTATCTGGTTGGTTGTGTTTATTAAAAATTTACTTAAAGCGGAATTGGATTCCTTGATTCCTTTTCTATTGCTTTTATCTTTCTTTTTAAAGACAGCTCAATATCTACATAAGTCAATTTTTAATTATGACATTTAAACAAAACCTATCAATATGAAAGTCTTACGTATATTTATTTATCCTTTTTCAGATCTAATTTAACACTCATTGAGCGAAAATAAACAGAAAAGGTAAGTACGTACGCATAAGAACATTTTTATTAAGAAAAGTTTTTATCTTCTACATTGTTTTTTTTTAATTCTTAATGTATTAAAATAATTTTCCCTTGTATCTACCAATGTGCTATCGCTATATAAAAGTTTTTTTTACGTTTACCAACACTCGTTTTTTATGGTAAACAACCACTTTATATTCTCTTTAACATATAATAAATAACTATCTCTTTCTTTCTAATGTAATTGTCCCTACTGATAAGATTACACGAAAACATATGACTTTGGCAACTCTATGCTCTCTTTGTTAGTCTATCATAAATGAGCGTATGTGGTATTAAAAGCGAATTAAGTGGCAGACAGTAAATAAATTAAGGATTTAATAAAGTATTATTTGTATTTATATCTAAAAGTTGGAATATAACGTAACTTTTGCAAGCAAAGAAAATAAATTTTAAAAAATTCTCTTAATTTATATGAGAATAATTCGTGGAAAAATGGAAAATTTAAGCGGCTGATTAGAAGTCAATAGCCGAGAGTGTTTTTGTTGTTGTTGTTGCTCGTCTTTAATACTATGCGTGTAGGTGCGCGAGTGTGTTTGTGCGGTTCTTTAATATATTTTTTTGACATTACGTTTTAATATCGGTTTCGGAGTATGAGGAAACAATAACAAAAAATCGATTTGTTTACATGTGCTACGTTCCTTATAACAAAAGGCAAAAAATTGAAAATTAATGAAAAAAAAGTGAAGCTAATTGAAAGAAAAACAAAAAAATACCAGCATATATGCTTTTAAAATAAATCTGGTAAATACCTTTACACAAACCTGCCAATGCTTTAATAAACTAATAATAAACGACACAAAAAAATTATGTTTTGAAGCGTATTGACAAAAACAACAAATCAAACAAAGCCGGTTTCGCAATAAACAACTGACGCCTTGCAGACGTCTACCGTTTTTCGTTTAAACGGTTTTGTCGTCGCTCGTGTTAAACGTAAATAAATCCTTAAGGGAGTTAATAAAGAAACTAACGAAAATATTAAGAAAATTATATATTTATTAAAATTGTCTTCAAGCTCAGAGATCAATAAACTTTATTGTCGAACCAAAGAAAAAAAAAATTTAAATCCCAGTGTCTTAAATTATGTGGGTGTATCGTTTTTCTTCTTTCTAAGATACTTTGTTATCTTTGGTTTTCTTTATTATACGAAAACAAAACACACGAGACCGGTTCTCCTCCGCATTTGGGGGTTTAGTGCATTCATCTACGGTTTGGGTTTCTTTAAGAAATACTTGAATGTCTTATTGGAATTAGAACAACATCGTTCGTGTGTGTTCCGAATAAATGTATTAAGTATTAATGCCTTGGACTACTTAACGTATTAGTGTTGGATTAATGGTATCTTTTGATTGGTTTTCTCCTTTTCGACTAAAGCGGCTTATTACCCTACAAGGTAAAGTAAAAGAAAAAGAAAATTATAAAACAACAAATATCTATACTTTGTAAATTTATATCTATATGGGTATATATATGTTTGATAGATATGTGTAACGCTGGTAGCAAATTTGCTTGATATCTTCAACTGTAAGATATAAACTTTCATAAATTAAATTTCTCTTAATAAAATCATATCAAAACTTAGTTCAGTTGGTTTCAGATACAGGAAAAATTTTCCTCATATGTTGGCGATAATTTTATTGTTCTTCAAAGTTTACAAAGTTTTCTGCAACAGAGTTTTGATATAAATCTGCCGACGCTTAGTAGATAAAGTATAATATATCGTTTGAACTTTTTATAACGGCAACCGTCATATCTTTCTGTTGTTAATGTATTAAGTCTCTACTTTGGCTTGCGTGTAACCACAAATGTGAGGATTGTGCCTCTTCTACAAAATTTTCCACTTCATTGCTCCTTTTCTTGAGGCCTTTAGACTATTTCTTTCATTTTGGTCAGTCGCAGTCGTTGGATGAAAGCATTTAACATCCAAAATTCGATTGCTGATGACCAGACCTAAGATGTTCAAAATGGGCTGTCTTATTTAAAACACGAGAAACTCTCCCGTCAATCTAATACCTTGTAGTCTTTGCATCCGAGGCTTTCCTGTAGGAAGGACCAGGCGTTTTGACAAAATTGTACGTTGCTTTATCGACACAAAAAAAAGAATGGAAAATTCCTATTCATTCATACCTTAGATGTAAATTGCACATAGCGGCCTGAGTGGGCCAAGTATCGCGATTAGCAACTCAATGATCGTGGGTTCAAATCCCAAGTGCGGTAGATTTTTCAATGAAGCCAATAGCCTTAGACGTTTTTAATCTTACTCAATTTATTCACATCCGTCTGTTCATCTAATGGATTGCCGTTGATTTTAAAAGTCCTAAATGGGAAAATATTCCAACAAAAAAGCCCTATTAGCGCTCCCGGTGTATTTCATTTACGGTTATATTTATTTGACCCGGTTGTTGGTAAACGTTTAATCCTGTCTGTTAGCTCAGTGATTTTCCGGTCCTTTTTTTCGTTACGCAAATCTACCGTTACCACTCACCTAGAAGTTTTTTGTCATATTTTCAAAGCTTAATCAGGATCTTATTTTGAAGCTTTCAAAAATCGGATTTCGGGATTTTTTCGTCGGTAGATCTTCATCATACTTATCGCACACAAAGATTAGTCTATAATTTTTCTTTTTAAAGTAACATCTACTTCTTCTGCTGTGCCACAACGCAGCCATTTAGGTTCCTTATCTTTTATTCTATTTATTAATGATCTTCCTGGTAGCATTCATCATACACGGAAAATGTTAAGCTGTTTCACAATATTCGAAGAATGATGGACAAAGAAATTCTTACTAGTGGCTTATATATATCGCTATACTGAGGTATGTGGCGCTCGTAAACCCTATTTTAGAGTATGCGTTAGTTGCCTGGGCTCCAAGCTATTCTTGCCAGACAGATAGTGTAGAATCAGTTCAATAACAGTTCACTCCTTTTTTCTTTCCTTGGGTTATGGTGTCGTACTTCCTTACCTCTTCCGCCCTATGAAACTCGCTTCATATTAATTGATTTGTCGGTGCTCGAGAAAAGAAGGCACATGCTAGAAGTGTTCTTTGTGTTGAAGCTGGTAAAGGAAAACATAGTTTCCTTATTCTTCCCCGTCAATCGTCTTTAAATGTTCCATCTTGCTTTTCTTTCTTTTCTTTAAGAGAACATTTCTAAGCATGAACTGCGTTGTTGCTTGTATCATGTGCTGTTATAGGGCTAATCGCATGTATTAATGATGGGATTAAGGTTGAGAAAGCATTTTCGTCTTTCCCAAATTTTCGGTCAGTTTAATTGTACACTAGCTTACTTATTGCATTACATTTCTATTTCTATCCTATACGACTTGCGGTACAGGATGTATTAAGTTAGTGCGGACGTTTGTAATACGCGAAAGGGTTTAAGATATATCCACCTTTTACTTTAGTGATCGATTCCGAATCATTAGTTAATACGTTATTAATCTAAGCCTGTCTCACTGTCTGTCCGTGGAATGTCTGCGCATGTAAATTTTTGTTCAAGCTGTAGCTCGCAATTTTTGAGATATATTGATGAAATCTGGTACAGTGACGTGTTTTGATCCGTGGACCAACGCTATTCAAAATAGTTCGGGTCGGTCCACGTTTTCAACCACTCTCCCTATAGCGTTCTATTCCGGAAAGTCGTTATACGGAAATAGATTACAATTTTTAAAATTTCACCACGAACGTGTCTAAGTATTAGTATTTCGGCATTCTGAATTGGTATGAAAACTTTGAATCGGCTATGGCAATTGGTAAATATCTCTCCTATCACGAAAATTGAAGTTCATACGACAAAAGGCGTAATAAAATAATTAATTGTATCAAATATGGATCATCGTGGTCTGTTTTTTGAACCCTACCATAATGAGGATTTTCACAAAAATTGAACAGAAAAGTTAAACTTTCAATGTGTGGTGGTGAAAATTGACCCATAAGAGTAATATCATCATACAAAAATAAGAATTGTGTTAGGCAATGTAATGGAGGGGTACATAATTGTCGGCCATGCCCGACTATAACTTTCTTGCTTACTTTTATTTATTGAAATATATTCCTTTTATATCGGTTGTCAAGATCGGCTAATGATATTTTGTAGATAAATAAATATACATATATATATATACATTATTCTAGCAAAGCATCTACAGCTTTCCGAGTCTTTGTCCGAGAGTCGTCAATAAAACCATTTAAAACCATGTCAATCTAAGTAGAGAATTAAGCGATTTCATTGCCTTCAGCAAGACAATTTATCCACAATTGAAATGGTTTATCATTTATTTGAATTTTAAAAATTAAATCTTTCCCTTAATCGTTTTTCATTATCAACTTTGATTTTATTTTCTAAACTAATTTCTATTCAAATTTGTAATGGTCTCCTTTTTCTTATTACTTTTTCCTTTGTAAATATTTGCACGTTTCTGAGTTAATGACAGCATTTAAGGCATCAGCATCAGCATCAGCATCAGGACAACTTTCATGACACAACTTACTAATGTTCATAATTAATTAAGTCTTACAATGTTAGGGTGCCAGTGAAATCGGTTATTAAACTTTGCTCTAAAAAATACGCTTCAACTTTCCTACCAAATATAAGGAACGAACAGGAAGAAGAAATTATTTTGAAAAACTTTGCCTTATATTATACAGTAAACTAAGCATAAGAAAGTGCAGTTATATTCTGAAAATAGTCAACAAGGGTAAAGGCAATGACAGAAATAGCAATAAAAATAATAATAATAATAACAACAACAACAATAACAGCAAATATTATTATTATGTTGGTAATGATGACAACGTCAAGTGTAAAGTAAAGTAAAGTAAAGTAAAGTAAAGGAAAATTTCTGTTAGGCTTTCATGCAGGGTGCCCTCTGCCATATTATGGAGAAGTGTTAAATAAATTCTCATTTTTGCATTCGCGTTTCTCTTGCTTGTTTTTTAGCTTTTAGAATTTTTGTTATAGCATTTTAACGAAATTAACGCCAACATTCATTTAACAAATTTATTTTAATTGAGCCTGGTGGAAAATTTAAATTAGCCCACATTGCCTTAAATCAACATAATACTCATGCCTAAGAACGATTGCTCGCATACGTAAGGGCGAGTACGGGTGGAAAGGGGAAATTGGTTACTGTTTTTTTTTTTTTTTTTTTTTTTTTTCTTTTGAAAGTATTAGACAATAATAGATAACGTTGTTAGAGCAAACGACGTAACGCGTATAAATTTGTACATGTCTTAAATGCGCCGCGATAAATTACTTCTGCTGTGACGGCATGTAAATGCAGTATTTAATGCCTAAAGGGGCTGCACTGGCATACTAATTTTATAATTGTGAAAATTTACTGTTTGCAAATTGAGTAAAATGTTTGCAATTTTGTGTGTTTACTTTTGATTATGGATGGATGGATGGATGGATGGATGGATGGATGGGGTCTGAATGTAATTCAGGTTAGACAGAAGAAGCCGCCCTATTATTACTATTCAAGAAGGAAATTAAAAAAAGAAAAAAAAAAAAAATAAATAAATAGAGGAAAAAAAAAAGCATTTTCAACGATCCGTAAACTTGGAAAATTGTATGACCTGAAGTGAAAATTAATGGTTTTAAGATAATTTCATAACGCACGTAAGGGTGAGTACGCGAGAATGAAGCAATTAAGCTTGCGTATGAGGATAGCTAATGAAGGCAATCGTGTGACAAAAGTTAGGCGCAGATTAGGCACAAGAATTACGGTTATTAATACACTTTCAAAGACAACATATGTGCGGGTGAACAAAATTTTGGTTAAGGGTTGAAAGTTGTTTTATTTTCAAAAATAAATTTCAACACATGCCACGGTTAGGTCATGGTTAAGTTGAACTTTTCCTTAACTTTATTACTGTGATCTAAGAATGACTGGGAGAACTTATGAATACATTTTTTCATAATATGTAAAACAGGTGGCTATCTCCTCAACTCCATAAACTGTAAAGCAATTTCCGGACGAACATAATTTGAATATATTTTTAATGAATGTAAAACATTATCAAGTGATAGCATTTAGGCATACTCTGCTATAAATTTTACTAAGCGGAATAACAATTAAACAAGTAAGAAAATTAAATTCGGTCGGTACCGAATCTTTTATACCCATCACCGTTTACCCTAAAAAAAGTCAAAAGAAGTAAAAGAATAAAATTCTCATGCTCCGTAACGTGGAGTGCGAGCAGTTGATTTCTATTTTCAAAATAAACGTTTTTTCCGTATACGCATGTGCGCATTGTAGGCGTGTCCTTTGAAAAGTTTAAATCTATTCCAAATTCCTTTGCAAATTTTTAGGCGATATCTTCATTTTGACTAACGGGAGAATGTTTACCATAAACAATACAAAGTTGCGCATACATACACATGGACAGACGAA